ATTTTTCTAAAGTCATAGAACACCCCTAACCCTAAAAGCCCCTATTTTCAAGGCCAGTCACCTATTTTTTATTAATCTATTTATATAAATTAAAAGATAAATCAGAAAAAATGTGAGGTTTGCTTTAATAGATTCACTATGGTTAGAGGACATTAGAAAAATATAAAATGAATTTAAATAATTAGATGTATTATCTTGGCTAATTAAGTCATTAAAACCAATAAATAATTAAAAAAAATAAATATACTTAAAACAATCACAAAATTTGGTTCACAATGAAGATAAAAAACATATTAAGCCTTTGTAAGAATTTGAAACCCATTTAAAATGTGTTAGATATCAAAGTCTATTTTTCTAAGTGAATGAGATTTTTGCACTAAAATAATTATAATAAATAAAATGTAGTTAAAAAAATTATGAAAAGTGATTTGGAGTGTTCCTTGTGATCAAGGGCACTCAAGAAAAATGAAATTGGTGTTAAAATAAATAGGAAAAAATACTTCATTTTTTAGCCAACTTTTAGTTTTAAAATAATTAAAAATATTTAAAAATCACAAAAATATAATAATATATCAAAATGTCACAAATTGTTTGCTCAACACTTGAGACCTTTTAAAATATTTTTCCTAATTTTTCTAGTGTAGTTATGTATTTTTAAATGCTAAAAATATATTTTCATTAATTTTGCATTAAAATAATTATAATAAATAAAATAAAACCATAAAAATAAAAAAAGTTTGTTTCTCTGAGTTCTCTAAACTCAAAGAGACCAAATAAGAATATAAAAAGTAATTTTTGAAATTAAATTATATTTTATATTTAATTAATCACTAAAATCAATAAATAATTATAATAATTAAACTATAACTCAAAAAATTATGAAATTTGGTCTAAATGGTCTTCTGATCTAGTTAAGATGTCAATAATTTTCTTGAGCATATAAACTTTACTTTGATCAATTTTCTTGAGCATATAAAATTTACTTTGATCAATTAAATGAATTAACATTGAATATCCCTATTTTTGAGTAAAAATAGTTATTAAAAATTAAATAAAATTAAAAAAATCTTAATTTAACCTTTTATATTTTAATTGACCCCATGAGTGTGGAACCAAAAAAATTTCAAAGTCATTTGAGTTGAATTTAATGATTTATGAAGTGGAAAGCCTTAGGGGCAAAATGATAATTATGAGATTTAGATGCTTTAATTAAAATTTAGGCTAAGTCAAAGGGTAAATGGGTAATATTTATCACAATGAACCCTCTCGAATGTTTGAAACATACGGTTTTACGAGGTAGAAACCAACTCATCACCATTTTATAATAAGAGTAAAATTGTAATTTTACTAAATTGTTGTGACTTGGGAAGTTGATCTAATTGGATGAACCTAAGGTAGTGGGCTTGAGCTAGGAAGATGATTACTTACTCATGTAAAGCCCCTTAATTAGTGATTAGATGATAAGATGATCTTTGATTAATAATTAAATCCATCTAACTTGACATTTTGATTATTGCAAATCTACCCTGAAAACTTAATTTAAGGGCTTGGTATTGAGCTAGGCTTGATTTGAATTTTCTTAATAAGGTTTAGAAACGGAAACATAATCAATCATGAATACTTCTAAAACACTACAAACCCGACTTTACTCATGAGTCCAAGATCATGATTTAAGCTTGCCCTTAAGGGCATCCACTTACATAACTCTTAAATAAAACATCAAGTGAATGTCTAAGTACCCCACCACGGGATAATTAAAACATCAAGGTTTCTTGAGCACTGAATAAATTAATCACCATTGAATCTAAATTTAAATTTGGTTCAACAACATAATATGTTCAAATAAACTCAAAACGATTCAAAGGGTTTTAAAAGTTGTTTAGGGTTATGCCCGAACACTTTTAGGATCTTTTGTATATTTTGAAGGACAACTGAAATTATTATACTTTGTTCAAAAAAATCATTCTTAAAACTTTCAGGGATCACCAAGTTATGCCTCGGGTCCCGATAATTCACCAAAATCAATATAAATGACCTACACTACTTATCCTACAATAATTGAACCAATGCTCAAAGATTTGAGTCTTCTTTAAGGTATTTAAATCCTTGTGGGCAATTAGGGATATTTGATTTTTGCCACATATGGATCAATGAGTTTTGTGTAAGTCTGAGGTCTAGGTGGCTAGGGCGATGACGATAATGCTAATGTGTGATAAACGAGGGATACGAAGTGAGATTTTAGAATAATATCTTCTACCTCGAGGACCTTTAGTAAAAGGGGAGAGGATAATGATCAATGATACTATTTCGACAACTTTTGAGGAGAGGATTGCCCCCGATACTCTTAGGTTGCTGGTAGTCCTAACTTGATTAAAGTAATTAACCTGTGTACTACACTACTTTGCAAGGTATTTACAAAAACGAAATTTCTTTTGCATGTTAAAGTAAATTCTACATGCATGAAAATTAAATTAAAAATAAGAACTTGTAAAGGTCCACGGTTAATAATTTAGATCGAGGTTAGGACTGCCCTCCATAGCTTATCGGGTAGGTAGCCTTACTCAAATATGGGAAGCACACAGTCCAACTCTGAGCCCCCACAGTCCAACTCTGAGCCCCCACCTTTGCAAATGTCTTACACATAGTTTTGATCTTTCATATGTCACTACGGATTTTCTTTTACTTGCTTGTGTTTTACTACGACTCGTTTTCAAATTTTTCCCACATCAGATGCTCCTGTTTACTTTCCTATAATTTATTTAATTTTCTTGCAAATATATTATGCTTTATGATGCTAACCATGCAGCGGTAGCAGAGGCCCAAATATGCTAATTTACATATTTACATCAATTTTACTACAACATTTCCTTTTACTAACCTTTTACTTTTTGCTTTTGTAATCGCAAAAACTATAGGATAGAAGACAATAGTCGATTTACCTAGGGCAAATCAATATAAAACCCAAACACATACTTGTTAATTAATTAAATTAATAATAATTTAAAGTAAATAAAACATAAGACATAAAAGTCTTACCTGAAGGTGTCACTTCGACGAGGAGCTTGGAGCTATCTCTATGGGTAGCATGACAAGAATTTATAGAAGAATAACTTCAAGAGACTAAACAAATCTACAACAACAAAGCTTTCTTATAATTAAATAACAAGCTATAGGACTTCGAGGTAGCTCGTCTAGTACGAAATAAATCCTCAACTTATTTTTAGGACTTCACACAACAATATTGTGCAATATAAGCCCTAACTCGCTTTAGACTATGAGATTGTCGTTCGTTATGACATAAACCCTCCTACCTTTCAGACTATTTCTATGATTGTGTCATGCAAGTGTAAGCCCTAAATAATAAAATTGACTTGATGAAACATATAATAATCTTTTCACGAAATTGAAGCCAAATCATAGGATGGCTTGAGATTTCACCGAGGTTCTCCTCAGGATCCGTAACATCCCCTAGTTTTCTCCCTTTGGATTGTAAAAACAACTGTTCATATTTGGAGTCATTCCCTTTTCATTTTTTTATGTCCGACCTTAAAAACCCTAAAATTTGAGATTCTTGAAGATGATACATTCCGTTCTAACTCGAGAGTTTTATTTATTAAATGAATTCGATCATTTAAGATGTAATTAACTATAGGAGCTTGTTCTTATAGGAAACATTGAAACCCAATTTAATATAAATCATATCTAATCTTTTATATTAGATAGGGGAACTTGTCGGTCAACATAAATGTTTCACAGACTAAAACAAATGTCATAAATTCTTTAGTTTGTTTAATCGAGTCTTACTATTAAGTAATGTGTATATTCCTCGGGATAGGTACGTTGCTTGAAGTGTTGCACTCGTTTATTTAAACTATTACATGTATGAGATCGTTTCAGTCCCATATTCTAAGAAAATTAAAATATTACTTTTCACAGACACACACACACACATAGCC